CCCAATAAGAGACGAAACGTATAAGATGAGTTTGTTTTCGAGGGTCATCAAACATCGACAGTGATTGCATGCAATTACAGAGTTCGAACTTATGAACATTATATCTCTCACTTTTAACTATATTTCTATCTATACATCCCGAAAGTAAAGAAATAGGCTTATACAGTAGTTCTCAACAATTCGTTGATATCGATATTGGTGTAGTTGTAATAAATGTCCCTGGTTTTTTTCAATTCAGCAATTGACTCCCAAAATTGAAAACCTGAGTTTTGCAGAAAAAAATTTTTGTCTCTGCGCGAAAGTATAATGCTTACCAAGTATATGTACAAAATTTAGTACGCTTAAAAGCAAATATATTACAGAGATATTAAAATTTATTGACTGCTTTGCCTCAAAGAAATATTTACTTGATATTTGAAGCAGCTGTACAACTACTCAAGTTTGATAAAGCTTTAAATCTATATTGTTGTTAAAGTTAAACCCTTCTATTTAGTCAGTTGTCGGTTGAATAACAATATCTAATGTTTTATGAATCTTTTTTAATATCTCAAGCATGATATTTATAGTATCTCAACGAATTAGGCTACGAGCTAAAGCCAAATATGAAATATTTTCAGAAAATTCTTTCGATAACTTCTTTAATCATTCATCTGTTTGATTTATGGATCCTCAAATTTATACAACGAGCATACCGACATAACTCGAGTATAGCACTTCGCTTTTTTATGGACTTCTTTAAAGTATAGTAGCAAAATTTAAAAAAACTGCAAAACTCGCATATTGACTGGTTATCATTACAAATTGTGCCTGACATGAACGATAAATATGTCGATGGCAGCAAAGAAAAGCTAAAAAAGAATGTCTTACGCACGCAGAATCTTATTTCTGCCTTAAAAAAGCGCTTTCTGTTTTTACATATTATATGTCAGATAGAATAACATATTACTACTTGTCTATACTAATATATAAAACTTTTGTTGGTAGTTGAAATAACTCAATGTTTATAAAGGACAAAAGTAGAACTTTTATTAATATTCACAGATATTAATTCATATATAAGGAATTCAGAGCTTAAACTCAATTGACGCTATAAGTAAATATTTAGAAAGTTCAGTCTAATTTATTTCTGAAACTTAAACGTATGCGTTTAGAATGATTTAATTCACAATGGATTTTTTTAAAGAGAAACAAACACAAAAAACAATATTTTTAAGAACTATATAATACTTAACTACACTGATTTAGTCTAAGTTCACTCGATGAGTTTATTTATGATGACATACGATTTCTCGGCCGATACCTCTTAATACCAAATCAGTGAATTCATCCAAATTAAGTTGAGAATCATCATTGGTGTCAACTTGTTCAATATAATAGGATAAAACATCTTTAGTTACACTTGGTTGAATAAAAGGAACAAAAGCAGTGAGTTCATCAATATCAATAGTACCTGATCCATCTTTGTCGAGAAGTTTGAAGGCTTCTTTAATTGAGTCAGGTGAGTATGTTCCCATCATAAATGGTCGTAGAACAGAGACAAAACTATCGAATGGAAGGGCATCTTTAATACCAATGGTGGCCATTTCCTCATAATCCTCTCGTTTGATTGACCATCGAAATCGTCGTGCTTTTCCTGTCTTTTTTGCTTGTATTAAATCTTGATCCTCCTTTTCTGTTTCCTCATAAACATACGTAACTTCGAAAATTTTACCATCACGACGATCAATAGTTTCTGATACCGTGTAATTCAATCGAGCCATTTTTTGTATATATAATTGAAACGTGTAGTTGAATTTGCACACTCTTAGTTCTTTTTATTTTTCTCTTCACAACCAAAGAAAAGAACGAAAAAAGAAAACAAAAGATCGAAATGCTGAGTTCGACAAAATTGTCTTCTCGGTGCAAAAAAAAGTAAAATAACAAACCTTACTTTGTTTAGTGCCGCTTAACATGAAGTTTTTTTTTTCTACAGTTACATGTTTTTTATAATGGATCATAAATTTTACTGTATACTTTTGCTCTGTATTTTTCCATTGTTTTTCGTTACGCTATTGTGCCTGTTTGACAAACATGGATAATATTCCCAAGTTGTATATGAAATGTATAAAGTAAGATCAGCGAGCAGAAAGTAATATATGTCAGATATGAATGAAACTCACTTTCATGGTACCGGAATATTAACGGAGCTTGATAATTTGTTTGCCGCTCTTTTTAAACATTTTCTGTTTCACCTTTACTTTACTATGTCTTCTACCCAGAGTTAGTGAAATAGCTTTGTGAAAACAAAAAGTTTACAATTACTAACTTGAATCTGTACGAAGTATAGATCATTTCTTTTGTTAGTTTTATGCTGTAGCATATTTATATTCTAGTGAAGAAGGATTTTGATGCACTCATCTTTTCTTGCAAATACATCACATCTGCGAGCATTTTACTTTACGAGAAAGTTCTCTTGGAAGTTAGTAGCAAAGATATTTACGAGCACTAGAGCTGCTATGAAAATTATGAGTGAATTCGTCACTCTTCGTCAGACAGACTACAATTGAGTAAATTAATTATTGTTTTAGACAAATAAGATATTATAGCCCAGGAGATTCAACAGATCTTTGAAAAATTGACCACTGGAATAATAAAATGTTTTGTTCAAGATACTGATAGAGTAGCTCAAGCTCATGAACAAATTTATATGAGCGGATGAACCAAGGGGAAAGGGCGAATTCCGGATCCCCATTGGATTCCTGAGAATCTATATCAATCAGGGATTCCAGAAACTTGTATTTAACCTCTATGATTCGTAAGGTAGTCCTGAAAATCTCGTAGAACTAAGTATCAAGGCTTCACTACTTTATCAAATGACTAGAAAGCTGTATTAAACTATTCAAGAAAATCATTTCCTAGGCGAACTGCCTTGTGTATTCTTGACTTGTGCAGACGTCAAGGTTTGTCCATAGCACATCACTTCCTTGTTCAAGAATCTTAAGAAAGTCACGTACATTAGAGAAATAATTTCATTAGTTTTTGATAGACGAACTTGTTTTTTTTATGCTCTCGACCTGCGTAGACCTCAAGTTTTGTCCATAGCGCATGACTTAATTGGTCAAGACAAGCACTTGAGTGTTTGCATGAGTTACAAGAAATCTTGAGGGTGGAGGTATACGCTGTGGATGGAATGGAGGTATGGCTGTGGCTATGGGGTGTAGATTTGGGTCTTATGTCGAAAATATATGCCACCAGCCCTAAACCATTTTCATTTTTATGCTTTGAGTATTGGATCTGAGTTTGGGTTTGGGTTTGGGTATGAGTTTCAGTTTGAGTTTGATCAACAGTCGTATATCAAAAGCTTAGATACACGGGCTATCATCAAATTTAAACCCAAATCCTATCCAAACCCAAACTCAATACCCAAATTGTTTGGGTTTGGTGCATGCCTAGTAGGATTAGAGAACCCAAGAGTACCGATAATATGAGGAAATAAAGACCTAAGAGTACTCTTGAAGCTCAGCGAGCTGAGCTAGTCGAGGTCTAGTACGAGATCCAAATAAATCGAAAACATTAGAAAATCTTCTTAAAAGTTTGTTAAATGTAAGTATAAAAGGATAGATTCAAGTTTTCTGTTGATTCTAGGCATATCTATCTTCACTGTCTCTTTTACATGTTATGATCACACCTAATTGAGTTTTTCTTGGAAATTTTTGTGAAACACAAAAGAAAATTTCTTTTAGATGGGTAACGCAGGTGTTACTGTGTATAATTCTTCCAACTATACGATGAATGTTTATCTTAGTATGGGAGCTATTCATCATTTCTGTAACAGAATTAAATCAAAAGAAGCGTTTACAATTTATCCTGGTGCAGTCTGGTATACTGTAGGCTGTTTCGCATCGAATGAGTCGAATGATGTCACAAGCGCACAAGTTGGTGCACAAATACTGATAGCTTTTAAACCAGTGATTGGTGGAATTGCTATAGTACCTTATGCTGCACGAGAAGTTATGCTTAAAATTTCAGCATCAAAACAAGAAAGGGAAGAATATTTCGACAATGGCGAGAAAAACCTATCTATTTTTGAACAAGGTGTAATGAATGCCATTAAACAAGCTATTGAGACCGGTGCTTTGACATCCAGTAACGACAATGAAACTGAGACACTATTAGAAAAAGTAACTGCTTTTAATAAGATATGCAACTGGGAAGACAATATTAAAGGAATTTATTGTGGTGGTGACCACAAGATTCTAGTTATTTCTGGAGGACCCTGTATAAAGGGTGGTAAATGGGACCCTGAAGATATTAAAATTAGAGAATCAAATGCAAATATCATACCAGCAAATACAAAATTCAGAAAGAGCAATGGTCTCTTCAAAGCAGACATTGAATATTGGACAAGTAGCGATAAAAAATGGTATCCTTCTCTTCATTTTTAGAAATGAATTTTTAAAAAGCCTTTTCTGTAGTGACTTTAAATGATATTAAGTGGGAGTGAGAATGAGAGTTTATGGATGAAAATGTGAAAATAAGATGCTACTCTGCTCTATCACATATATCCCTACATACTTAACACAAGAATATAAGCAGAAGCCGAAACTACTGTTTAGTTTCTTGCGACATTTGAAACACTTTTTAATATACATATTTCATGAAAAATGTAGAAAATTTCATTAGCACAAATAAACATAACTATATAAGCGTTGCAGTCAATATACAACTATCCAACAGGATTTGTTTAAAAATAACAACCGAGTTTTAGTCCCAAAATTTAGCATTAAAACTTTCCACATGAGTGCTTATACCGATTTCATTTGTGTGTGGGGTGTGGACTTTGAAGAAGACATTCGCGCTCACATCCAAGCCCGCTATACAAACAGCATTCAAAACAGAAGGTGTAGCTGTGGGTATATGAATTAAGCCACATTGACTCTTTTCGCTGAATCGATATGTAATTCAACGTAAAATAAATTCATTTGTCCTTTTGATAATCAATAAAGTAGCAAATACATGATATTAAATCATTTTTGAATACACACAGTGTGAAATTTTCAGCTCATGCTTCATGACAGATAATGTAGTGAGCAATAAAAATGATTGTTAGAACAAAAATAAGATGCACTATTTGTTAAATTATATTGCGATCATAGTAGTGAGATACTCAATCAGTAAATAAATGAAGAGAATTGAACGACTATTTTCAGTGCAATACGAATGAGTTCTCATCAATTTTTCTTTACATCTAAATGGCAAATCCTTCATTCGATTGTTACCAATCAAAAACAACACGGTGATCCTTTTTTTAATCTGATTCTACGTTGTGCAATGAAAAGAAAATTCATTACTGTTTAGGCTTCTTTTTTTCTGCTACTAATTTATTCATTGGATTTTTTCTTCATTGCCCCTTACCTTGATGACCACTATTCTTTTCTTTTTATTTGTTTTTCATGTTTAAAAAAATGTTTAGAAAGAAGTTATAACTGAATAAAGAATCAACGTGAAAATCAGTGTCAAATTTTCGAAACGAAAGTCTTTTAATATCGTAAAAATTGTTGAATTCTATGATTGCCTGTATCAGCTACGTATAGATTAAGTTGATTATCTAATGTTACACCAAAAGGTAAATTTAATAATGTATCATTAGAACCAAACATACTTGTAACACCAGCTATTGTTATTCCTTGAGTTTGTCCATTCATAAATAATTGTATTCTGTGATTATTTCTGTCAGCAACATAAATATTACCCATAGGATCCAATACTACATCCATAGGATAATTTAACAATGTTGCATTGTTCCCTGAAGTCCCAGCACATCCTGCTACAAGTGTCCAATTACTAGCATTTAGTGGCCATTGAACTATAGTCTGAGCATTGGCATTAGCAATTAGTAAATTATTTGAAAATGAATCGAAATATAAACCAGCTGGCCTCCATAACTTTATATTCGTTATACCAAATCCATTACCACCAGCAGCAATAGTTCCATTTGAAGCACCATATAGATAGCGCATCACACGATCATTGGTATAATCTGCTATATATAAGGTATTAGAGTTTGAGTCATATGAAACACCAGTTGGTAACTGCAACTGATTGAGTGAATTACCAGCAACACCTGAAAAAATTTTCTTAAAAACTAACATCAAACAGATAGATTTGATTTTGTTACCTGTGCCAGCTATTTTAATTCCTGATGTACTACCAGTTGACCAAAGTTGAACTCTATTATTATAGGTATCTGCAACGATAATTTCATCATTAGAATCGATTGTGACATATGAAGGATAGTATAATTGATTTAAAGATGAACCGAAAGAGCCATCTCCTGCAACAGTCGTACCACTGGAAGAACCTATTTCATACCGTTGTACACGATTATTTTGATAATCAGCAATATAAAGTATGTTGGGTCTTTTCCAAAATACTTTCTTGGGTTGCATAAGCTGATAACTAGTATTCCCTTGTAACCCTGTTAGTCCAGCAACAGTAATACCATTCGATTTCCAACGCAGCACATGTGTAGTAGCTAGAAAACAAAATTATTTTAGTAAATCGTGATGATTTTATTGTCTAAAATATTAATTTGATGAATTATTTTGTATAAACGAAAGAAGTTTCTATTGTTAGTATCTCTCGCTAAAATTAACTTTTGTTTTTCTTACGTAGTTCAGTTTTTGTTCCTGATCCAAACTTAGTTAACACAGGTACGAGAACTGCAATCAAGATTATTCCACTGATGATAAGTAAAAGTATAATTGCAATGATAAAGCGATGAACACCACTAAATAATACATAAAAATTTGAACAGAATACTATTGTATTTTTGAATATGCTACAACTTTTTGCCTAGATACTTATCGAAAGGCTGGTAACAAATAAATTTAAGGAATAAAGATCTCAAATGAATCACGACTACAAAAATTCTTACTTTTTCTTTGTTTTTTTTTTCGTAGGTCGATGATGATCATATATCGTACCGTTTTCATTGGATGAGACTTCTCTTATCTATTTTGATTTAAAAAAAAAATATATATATATATATATATATAAAACTAAATGATTTTTTTTTGAAATAGATAAAGAGAATTACATCATTCATTTCACCAGACAATATTGTAGATGTTTTTAACAGTTTCACCGGATGATTAAGTTTCTGATAATGATTGTGTAGTGTTGAATGTGCATCATAGCATTGTTGCATATTGCCCAATGAATGATGGCTGGGCCAAGAAAAATTGCCGAGCTATTAAAATAGAAAAACATTGCTTAATTTTTTTAGAGTTTCTTATATCCTCAAAATTTTCTTTCTCTTTATTATGGTATATATTTTCTTTTTCGAATAGAAGAAACAAACGACTCCCGTGTTTTGTCTTATATAGATTTTCATAAATGAAAAATAACGGCAAGTCGAACCGAATATGGATTTTGAGATAGTTCAATTGATTTCTGAGCTTTAGGATGAATTTTATTTGCAGCTCGAGTAATTATATGAACAGAAGATTTTGATTTAAACGTTGATCCTGTTTGAAGACTTTGGTGATTGTTAGAACGAGATATTTTAATAACAATAGGTTTTTTTGTAACATATCCATCTGAAAAATAAATGGATTTGACACAACATGAGCATTCAATATTTCTTAACAGTACCTGCGTCTCTTAATTGCTTTTGATTGTGCATCATAATTATAATTATTAAAGACAAAAATGAAGCTTTTTTGCACTGCTACTACGATGCCTTAATATTTGTTTCAAGAAATGTATGTATGTATGTATATATATGTCTCCAACAAAAACATTTTTTTCTTTCAGTTTCTTTAGAATATATAATGTCCAAGATGTCTTATAAATGTTTTAATGTTCTTTATATCGAATGAATATTTTTCTTTTGAAAAATAATGTGTAAGTTGTCGTAGTTAAATCACATAACAAATAAAGATTGAGGGTTTGTGATGTGGGTCATAAAAGAAGACATATTCATATACCCACACAGCAAACCGAAAAATATAGACATGGCACATTGAATCCATTTCTTTTCTGTTTGCTCAGAATTCAGGGCTGACAGAAAAAATGGAATCTGGTCGTTAAAACGGTTGAATCATGCAAAAAAGAGCTACTCTAGGGTGGAGTGGAGTCGGCTTTAAAAGTTTTCCTTCGTGAGAATTAGAATACAATCTTGATAGTGAACATTTCCGCTTTTCCCAGTCTCGGAGACAGCAATTCTAATCAAACTTTATTGTACAACCTATATGTTTGGGTAAGATTGTATCGGTCTGTTTGTATCCACTTTCATTAACGTCGGGTCCACCATCGCCGAATGACATATGCTGCATGAGTCGAACACAAATAGCCTTGAGTTCGAGCCGAGCGAAATCTTGTCCAATGCACTGACGATGGCCACCACCAAATGCTATTGATGCTGTTTTATTGCTATTCATATTGCTTTCAATTAAAAATCGTTCGGGATGAAATTGATCAAGATCAAACGATCCGGACCAATAGCGTGAATCTCGACCCAAATTGTAAAATGGAATAAATACTTGATCACCTTTGCTCAGTTGAACTCCAGTTGCCGACAGTCGATCATCAGCAGTAAGCGTTCGCAGAGTACCGACTATAGGTGGTACAAAACGAAACAATTCACGAATAACACAATCCAAATAAGTAAGCGAATCGATTTGTTCAACTGAGAGCCGCTGAAGATTGTACTCAACAAGTTCATTCTTAAGTTTACTTTGTACTTGCGGATATTTGCTCATCAAATGCATAAACCAGACCAGAGCTGCTGATGTCGGACTATAGCCAGCGGAAAGTAGTGCTAACATTTCACCCATTACTTCTATCTGAGAAAGACCTGAAAAATAACAGTACTTAGCAATGATAACCTTCGATAGAACCATATACCTTTCTTATGTTCTTCGGATTTTGTTGCTTCAAACAGTTCGTCCTCTTGTAACGACGCCACTAGTGATGCAATCAAACTTGTTTTCCTGCGTTGAGTTCTCGTTACAGCAGTCTCTCGTAATTCTTGATCGATCATTTGTTGCAAATACCGATCAATGGTCATTCGTGCTTGTCGATATTCATAATTCAATACTAAATAGATGCGAGCTATGAACATTGGTAATCGTGCGACAAATATTGATGTCTTGAAATTTATGCACAATGCGTGAGTGAGTTCGTTTTCATTGCTTCTATCTTCTTCGTCAAGTGTTTGAAGATCATAATCAAATGCAACGAAACCCAAAATAGTAAGTAACAATTGTTGTGATTGTTCGATTAAATTCAAGTGAATATCTGTCGGATTATTGTTGTAATTACGCCATCGGTTCAATAATTTATCTGTACAATCGATGATTGTATCTGCATGTGCGCTGATTTTAGCTCGACGAAACAACGGACTGATAATAGTTGTATGACGTTTGAATTTGGGTCCTATAAATAGCATAGCCATATGCAAGTAATATAGATCAAAACACAAGAAAAGTATGAGATAAGTTTCATTTTTTTCCCTTGGAATATTTTGCTCCTTTCAATTGTTTTTTTCTCTTCATTTTCTGATTGGTCTTGTGTTAAATGATAAACACGTAAAAAACTCATTCGAAACTTACAAAACTTATGAATATATTGTTAACACAATTCCAGTTTGTAGTAATCTCGAAAAATATATTTATCTGTAGGTGGGCGGATAGACATTTTCACTATGTGTTTCCATATTAATTGTTTTCCAAAAGTGCAGTGATTTTGTTCGAACCTTTTAAGCCAATAATTGCATTTGGATTAACAAGATTCAGTATATTGATGAACATGTCTCCTTGATCGTATAGATGACGATGAGCAAAAATATGTTGTACATCTTCGAGACGACTAACAACAATGAGACGCATGGGGCCAAACCAAAATTGAAAGACATCACCAAGCTTGTCTTTCAGTTGTAAAAATAAAATATTCATAGGTATTTGTCGTCCAACGATGCCTGTTTGTAGCATATTGCCGAACAGAAATTGAGGCGGCAAACCAGGCATTGTGCCACGTAAAGTGAAATAAGTCTGTTTCGTATAGTAATAGAAAACTATCAACAAAACGGTAAAAAATATAAGCGCAACCGATAGCATCTTTTTCGTCCTATTGTTGTTGTAAAATATGCTCATGTAACGCAACAAATATCATTCGACAGCACCATTGCTTATGTTTTTCTTCGGTTCTCCCACAGAGTCCAAAAAACGGCTTGTGAGCGAGTAATCCCGCAGGCATGTAGTGCCTTTCTGTCTCCCTTGCGATGTGCGTTTGCTCTTTTCTGTTCTCTATCTTTCTCTTCTCTTGTTTGTATACCTTCGGATTATGGTTAATTGTTGTCGATTCGATGTTGTGCGTGAGTGTGATCGATTTCTCTCTTTCTTAGAGATAGAGTCTAGTTAGTCTGGCTACCCTTTAACTAAGGCTTATCAGCAAAATTATTACTAAGATAAATAGAAGGCACATATTTATCTACTTGTTTTCCCTCGAGTGTAGGAAGGGTCTTACGAAATAAGATAAAATTGCTTGTTTGCTGTTTGCTTGCTGACATGATAAACTTATAAAGTTTGACCGAAGATAATCGGGATCGGGGGAATCTGAATCAGTGATCAGATTTTTGAAGGTGAAATAAATAAATAAGCGAATTAACAATGTGACAAAGCAAAAGTAGAAGAATGAATATATATGTCAGAGGCAAAATTTGTTTTCAATCAGGCGCAAAATATGAGAATATTGTTTATTTTATTTATCTTCATAAATTATTTTTAATGCTCATTCAGAATCATCGAAAAAATTTTTAATTGTTATAAAATCATTCCTTTTTAATAACATATCAGCAATTTTTATGTTCGTTTTTTCATGGTTTTAAAAGCTTTCATTATGAATCATTAGATGCAGTAAAGGACATATTATACGTTCGCGCTATCTGTTTTTACGATTCACGGTGTGGATGTCGGCTTTCTCTGAAACCACATCGACAGCCACAGTCAACTTTATTGAGGAAAAAAGACAGATTTAAATGGAAAATTTTTGAAAAATGTCTTATACGTGTTCAACTTGTATCATTGTGATTTTGATTAACACCACAAAAACTGTTATTTATGTTTCAATAATTTTAAATTTACATGCTGAATATTATTTTCTTTATTACACGATATTTTTTCTTCAAGTGTTTCTGAAAGAAGAAAAAAACAATATAATCATCATTTCACTTTGATTGCTTCTTACTTCGATCGCCTTGCAAAAATTTGATGCATACATATATTTGACTTTCATTGATAACCAATTCATCTATGTACAATGGCGGGCCAGCGTCCCAAATATACGTATGGCAATAAACTCTAATGTCTTACTACGAGTTTGAAAAAACGTTTGCAACTTTGCGAAAATACTACACAACTATGTATATTTATGCTGGAAACGAGACATTTTTTCTTTCTTTTTTTCCGTTGAAATAAATAAATTAAAACATATCATTTAAAAAAAAGATTTA